TAATCAAATGTTTATTTGAAACTGCTTTGTAAAATTATAATGAATCATAATTTTGTTTAAAGAAGGATATGAGATAACGAACAGTATTCAATATCAAAGTCCATAAAACAATTCACATTCATTCATTCGGCCATATTTGAGATTTTGTTTCAGTATAATATAGCTGGAAAAGGTAAAAAGAATTATTTATGTCGGTCAAGTTTTGAATAATTAACCGATATAAGAATGCTTAGCTATGTTAATGAAGGTCAGAGTTCACATTCCTTGTACACTGTACTGGAAGTTTAATTGTGACGTCATTGAAATTTAACAAGCCACAAAAAATAATTAACGACATGATCATGCATAAATAACAACTGAAATTTATTCATTTTATCGATTATTCATAAAATCTTGTAAAATTACAAATTACGTGATAGCAATAAAGTCGAGTAATAGAAGACAGTCTTTCGTCAAATATGACATCAACAGCCTTGACATGACGCAGCACAGGTAACCCAGAAGACTAGAGTCACTGGTTTAATAATCACAAGAATGCTTCAATAAATATGATTACATCGCTAATTTTTAAACCTGATCATTAAAACTAAAAGAAAATAATTTATTAAATACAATTTGTATAGATTATGAATTTATCTAGTAGGAATGGAGCTGCTCAAGGACAAGGAATGTAAAGAATGTCGCTAAAACGATAAGTGTATTCGTGATTTACATCAAAAGTGCAAGGGCATAGGCTAATTGTTTGATCTGAAATTTGGAATATTTATTGCTTATGTAGTGTATATTTTGAAGAGTGCTGGGAGCTGATCCTGGTCTGCATAACATTATTTTCATTTATTACAGAATTTATGCGATTTGGAAATTTTTAGCTATGGAAAGCATTTTCGGCAAAATTTTCAGTTGTTTGCAAACTGCAAAGAATAGCTCCCAGCACTTTTTTGGGTAGAGGAAATAAACATCTTTTAATGTGTATCAATTTTTTTTCTTGAAAAACAAGTGTATGCCCTTGTACTATCCTCATTTTCTACATTCAGCTTAACAATTCTATTTGTGTAAAAGTCACGTGACAAACAGCTGATATATGCAATATAACTGGTAATAACTACAGCCCTGTCCTATTGATAGTCATTATTGTCATTATTGATAGCTATATTACATTTTCTACAAGTATTCAGTTGCTTTGTAACATTTTTATGAAAGAAGTAATACATATTAAAACGGTGCAAAGGTCACATTTTCCATATCGGTCCTTAACATAGCTGACTGGTCGCATGCAAATGAGTTGTCCAAATGCATTCTCCTCATATGGGTACTACAAATGTCCACAAGTTGTGAAACAGTCATGGAAACCGGTTCTGGGGTATAATACGGCGGTGTGCGTCCTGACAACCTCCGTTTGGGATTCTTAGTAATAAAATTTATGAACATTATATACAACTTGTTTTACTTTAACGTACGTATGTTTCATTGTAAAAATATACATTCAAGTGCATTCTATATTGTAGAGATACAGTGTAAAATAACATGTATAATGATAATTAAATGTTAATTGGAAACTGTGTTTTTAAATAATGATGGAATATAATTTTGTTAAAAGAAGGATATGGAGATAAATACCAGTATTCAATAACAAAGTCCATAAAATAATACAAAATAGGAGCAGAACAAACACTGACGTCCGAAACATCAGAGTTGGAATCAGGTGTCGTGCAGGAGTTAGAATCCCCTGCTGACCGGGCAAACCACCCGCGTGCTCCTTGTCATGATCGTGCAATAACGGAAAAATATGTCGTCAATTTAGTGTAAAAATTATGGATTAACAAAACTTATGAAAAACGAGAGTAAGCATTTAACTCAATGATAAATTGTATTTGCTGACGAGGTCATTGATTGTATTAAACATAGAACGTGCAAAATAATGATTTCAAACAAAACTGCTGATATTCTTGTTTCAACAACTTGCTTGTCAATAATTTAACTCGTTTTAGAAATTGTTCATACGTAGTGCATGCTCTTGCGTATCGAATCAACTGAGATATATACACTCCATATGCAAGTGGTGAGGGTATATTACTGCATAAGTAAGGGAAGTTGACGATAGAAAAGTTAAAGAAGTAATGTTTATCATATAGCGATGTTCAGCGTGCCTGTACTCTCTACAGTAAGTACAATTGAAAAATAAGTAGCTGATCCTAACGTCACGTGTTTGTTCATAATCAACTGCAAGGCGTGGAGATCGGCCATCTTGATAAGACCGTATAAACCGTGGTCCTGTGTCGGAGTAGGTGTTGGCACAAAAAAGATCCCAGGGTTCTCCATCGTTTGCAATTTCACCGTGTTGCAGAGTTTACGCGGAGCACTAAAATTTTGAGGCAATTTTGCGATCAGATTTGCAACTGAATCACTATTTATCATAATAAAATTAAAATACATACACACACCTTTTTTAAAAAAAAAAATCGCATATTCGTTATACAAATGGTATGGTCGTACATATTGCTTAAAGTACAGACACATGTTCTAAAAAGCAGAAGAAATCTTGGTTGATAATCTCGAACTACTTAATAATTTTCTTTAGGTGTTGGCACAAAAAGATACCTCACTGCAAATGGACCAGAGTACCAATACAAGGTATAATTTTTTGTCCGTTACCAATAGATAGTAGGGTCTGCTTATGAGTTACGAATTCCTGCCAGGAACATGAAATAACGAACACCCATAGATTATATATGTGTCTTTATAATTCATAGCTCATATGAATCATAGAAAATTTAATTCTTCTCTGCATTATGTTTTGGCATAGTTTGTTGTAATTATGAAGAAAAAATTAGTACATATATTTTAAAGTTTTAATTTGCTAGGTCCAGTTTGTACAGGATTTGTATTTCTATAATGTGACCCTCCACAACTTAACAAAGTTTACATTAACTATTTAATGGAAGTTGAAAAGTTATGGTCAGTAATAAAATATACCAGCTGCAGAAAACCATGTGTTTGAACGTGTGGGTTTTTTTTTTATTTTTTTAAGAAGGGGTTCAGGTATTTTAGATTTCTTATTCAATAACGAGTTAAATGAATTTAATCCATTTTAAACAACCCTGGCAAACAGAAAAATCTAATGTAATTGATTGAATACTGTGAAATCACTTATTTTCGTGGAGGTTTAATTTTCGTTGTTTTCGTGGTATGAAGAGACCCACAAGTTAATGTCCACCACGAAATGAAAATTTTCATATAAACAATTACTAAAAAGTTCTTCATCCACGATATCAAAACAAAATTTCGATAAATCAACCTAAAAAAGAATGGCTGCATACTGTCTGATTAAATCCTCTTCAAATAGGTTCGTTCTAGAAAGGTCCACAAGTTGTGAAACTGTCATGGAAACAGGTTCTGGGGTATAAAACCGTCATAGACGCCCTGACATCCTCGGTTGCGGATTCTTCCTTTTTATTTACATTATCAATTGTATATAAACAAAGTTACTTATAAATTTCTACAAAGTGGTATGCAATGGATTTTAAACACACATTCACAAATTTCCTTACACCCATGAACACAAATCGGATTAATTGGAATTTTACGAAGGAAAAAAAATAGGGCTGCTTTTAGAGTTCACTACTTTAATTTTTCACCAATGATAAAAAGAAATTATCAGAAGCAAATATATTTAAAGGCATTCTAATAATATTGAAATCAAAAGAAACATGTCAATTTGGTTCCAACATTTTCTTCCATGAGTTCCATTTTTTATCAGAAAATGACAATTTAGAGTTATTAATTGAAACACACTTTTCAATGTTATATTTCATTTTTAAATGACTTATAAGACTGTAAAGCCGGAGTCAGAACACTTGGGAGGACAATGCTTTATTTGCGTGCGTCATGCACATTATCTATAGGCATCCATACCTATATATATATATATATATATATATATATATATATATATATATATATATATATATATATATATATATATATATATATATATATATATATATATATATATATATATCACTAAAATACCAACAACACTGTATATCCTAAATGTCGGATCTATCAAGTAGATACAAGGTCACGGATGGAAATTTATATAAAGCATTAAAAATGACCAACGACACGAACAATAAAAATTGTCAAATTTTCGGGACGCCCTGTCCCTTCCTCAGGACAAAGAAAAAAGTTAAAAAGTCATAAGAACAAAAGAAAAATAGAAACAAAAACAACTAGCACTACTACTAAGCTACTAAACACTAGATATTTACATACTTAATACATTACATGTTGAATTCGAAATTTTTAAGAACAATAATAAAGAAAGAAATCCGGACCGCTATGAAATGCGTCCGGTCTATCGGGTATACTCGAGTGAAGTGCGATTTACATAATTGAACGAATTAATTATGCTAATTAATTACGACAATCAGTAAATCGTACATTGTTTCATTCTCTCAAAATGGCGTAACTTTACTTAATAAAGAATAATCAAAGAAAAATAAGATGGCAGGGATATTTAAACATATGAATTATGATCCATTATAAATTTTGAAATATTTAAAGACTTAATACCGGGAAAAAATAATTAAAAAAGGCGAAAGCAATACATAGCTATGTGGGTTGTTCGAGAGTTGGTGACGCAAATTGACTGTAGAGTTTACACTAAATTGAGAGAATAATCTTGTTTAGTATCGTCAGGAATTGGGTCTTCTGGTGAAGTCATTTAGTTTGTTAATACCATTAGGGCGGAATGACTGTATATTGTATATAATATAACAAAGTTTATAATTATGTTATCTAGATCGATTATGATTTGAGATTTATTAACGATAGTTTATTCATGTAAATCTAATTTTTCTTCATTCTTTTCACTGGTATATGCTTCATTACAAGGACCTTTTAGCCGGTTTCCCTATTTAGACTATGCCATATATCATGTGACTTCGATGTAATATTTAAAAAAAATCTTATATGTGCATATTCATCACTTTATATTCATACTCAGTGAATTCCTTTGCCGCAGTAAGGAGAACACTTCCTGGGGTAAGTCGCAGCTATATATTTGTATTTAAAAAATAACAATAAACTCGATACAATATTTGTCAGGAAAAAAGATTGCATTTGATGGTGTCTTTTATATATTCATGTTTATACATCAGACTTAGCTCTGAAAAGGATTGACATACTGTACTTTAGGAAAAAAAGGCAGGAAAAAAATAATAGCATGCGCTCCATAATTGTTTGGTTCCTGTTGTTAATAACTTTAGAATGGTATGAATCAGGAATATGATTTTATTTTTTTAACAACATATATTTTTTTAGATTCGAGAGAAAAAAATCCTTTTAACATTTTACGAAAATTTTTGTCTGAACCTCTAATTTTAAGATTTATTTTAATTTAAATTTTCAAATGCCTCTCCATTAGAAGATACAAATTACACATTATTCATTTTACAAATTTCTCCAAAAAAATCAAGACTAGTGGTTTGCGTTAACGGATTTTCAAAGAACATTATTCAAATCTTCCCAATAAGAAAATTTTATATATTCGAACTTTAGCCAGGCATATGTTTACTCGTAGAATATATTTCATTATCATAAGCAATGAAAACAAATCTTTTATTTTTTGTAGAAATTTTACACATTCACTTTAGGAACGCCACAGATTTTTTGCATAAAAGTTACTAAGAACACTTTTTTAAGAAAAATAGCAATTTTTTTCCATAAGATTTTCGGCATATTTTCTGTATATATTTTTAATAGGCCTACGTTGTTTTTAAGGTATATTACTGTGAAATTTGTGTAGTTTGTCATAATTTTCTTACGCTTCTTTGCTGAAATATATACAGAAATTAAGTTTTTAAGCCAGTTGTTTAAAAAGAGTTTCTTAAACGAAACGTTCGACATCGTTTAAAGACGTAAAGTAACCTGCCAAGAATTTAACATTTTAAGATCAGTGTAAAAAATATTGACATTAAAAAATCAATATGTCTTCTAGCCTAGCCTTTCGTTAAATAATTCCAAAGTTTGGTTTACATTGCCAACTGTTTTGTTTATTGCATTTTTTTTTGGCTATAAAGCCAAAGGTTGAACGTAATCACGTTTACGTGCCAGCATCAATAATTTTTCATTCCGAATACTAGTAGTCAAGATCTTAAAGGTGACATATAAGTAAAATGTGTTTTTATTTCAATTTTTAGCTTTTAAGATGAAAGTTATAATCAAGCAGCATAAACAAAAGGAAAATAAATGTATTCAAATTTCACCCGTTTTTAGTTTTGAGGTTGGTTTCATCCTGATAGTATACAAATACTTTTGCGCCAGCTTTGACCTTTGGCAAACATGGTGTAAAACTCACGTCCCCTTTATGTTACAAATTGCGTGCACAGACACACTTTCAAGTTAGTGGCCAAGCATTTTTCGACATAACTTTCTTTTCTTTTACATAGTCGTCCACGTGGCGCAGTGGTTAGAGCGTCTGCTCTGAAGAAGGTGCTTGCAACAAATGGTCCTAAATGCCGAGCAAAGGGGAAAATCTGCAGCTCTTATGATAGACATAGAAATAAAAACATACTAAAATCTTTATCATATGTCATATCAGCCTGAGTGGCCCAATATCAGCTCTACGGCTGAAGGCCCGAGGGCTGATGTGACATCTGATATGGATTTTAGTATACATGTATAGTATTCTATTTACATATCGCAGCACAGTTAAGGTCAAAGTAATGAGGTGGGGCCTAATTTGCAAGGGAAATGTTTACTATGACGTCACACGTAATATAAGGTCTTAAAAATACCACAAAATGAAGTTATTTGTTATTTCAAACAGCTGGATAGCTGTATACTACATACAAACTTACTATTACATGCAGTTTCGTCGTTTGATAAATCCAACACAACAGTATATAAACGATACATCGATCGCAATGCAATTGTCAATGTGACGTCTTCCCGCAAAAATGACGCAGTTTTTTCACAGTGAGAGGCTGATCAAGTTACATTATGTACAATGAAAAATGTCTTTTGTTCTCAGAAGAAATGTTCTTTGCAATTTTAAAAAAGGCCGTTAACTTGGATGCGATGTATATTTTTAGTATTTAATTTATAAACTGTTCGTACATTCTCAAGACAAGTGATACTGTCGTGTGTCTGTAAGCAGATTTATTAAAAAAAAGTAATGGAAGGACCCTAATAAATCGATTGATTTCAAGGGCATACCCTAAATGTATCTTTTCAAGTTTTTACTCATAAACTCAAGAAGCATTAAGATATTTGAAAAATGCCGCTAACCTCATGAAATATTACAAATAAATTAATTATATCTATATTAAATGTAGTTGACCAGGAAAATATTCAACCTGCCGTCCAAGAAATTCAATTTCAGCAATTAAAAAAGGGAACCTTTATAAATTCGCAGCACTTTTCACAAACTATATATAGTGTTGAAAAGGATTATAAATTAAACTAATATTTTTAACTTGGTTATACCCTTGCAATATTGGAATTTATGGTTGACCTCTAAGCTGCAAGTATAATTGCTGAAATACGAGGGTTGATCCAAAAGTAATGTCACAGTGTCCATATCTTTTATATTTGGCGTCATATTATCAAATACTTTATACCAAAAGATGCACAAACATAAATTTAATTAAACTTTAATTTTTCATTCAATAATGTTTAACTGAATTTATTCTATAGATTTTTAAAACATATAAGATAGGGGGTGTCGCCGCGTCAAAACCGAACGTCACAAATTAAAGTGTACTTTTTTAGTATAAAAAAGACAAATACTTAAAAAACATCTTTTAAAAGCGCCTTAGGGCAAAATACTTTAAAAGACAAAAATTTGCATCATTTTCTAGTTTTAAATTGAAAATTGTATAGCATCACTGCTTTTTTTATGAAAAACATCGTTGATTTATTCCGGTGCATTGAAAAAAGGAAATGTCAAAATGGACAAAAAAAACCAAAACAAACTGTAATGCATTTTTGCTTTAAAATGGAGAAATCGCCAGTAGAGACAGTTACGTTGATTCACTAGACTTTCGGAGGAAAGAATGTAAATAAGAGACTTGTTTAGATGGTTTCAGCGATTTTCGGTGGGTAATGGGTCATTAAAAGCTCAGCAGATGACAAGAAATCGAAAGATGGGAGGGCGGACGGAAATGTTCAATGGTGCGTGACGTTGTCAAAAAAAAAAGACGGATAGAGCGATATGTGAAATTTTAAGTCGATCATTACTACTGTTCAATGAATTTTGACAGAATTAATTATGAAAAGAGTGAGTGTACGATGGGTACTAAGGGTAAGAAAGTGAAATTTGTGAACGTGTTCGTGGATATCAAATCTCAAATATTTTTAATGAATCGAAGGGAAGCATTTAAATGTATGACGGCGCGTATCCGTCATATGACGTTATTTAGCTGCGGCGACTACCCAAATCGCACGTTATATATAATCCGATATTTTAAAAACTATAAATCATGTTGAATTGAAATTTTCAGGTCTGATTTGAAATAAATGTAGCTTTTATCATTTGTAATTTTGTTGTTTTACGTCGACGGATAGCGACTTTATCGAAGTTGTGACATTACTTTTGGATCAACCCTCGTAATGTGAAGTCGACATCACGTGACAAGTCTAAATAAATAAATCCAAATGTCCCCAACATGTAGATTTAAACCACATTACATATTTTTATATCAGTGAAGTCCTAAAAAGAATCACCCATCCTTATAAAATATGTATTTTTTATCTTAAAAAATCGCTGATATTTCCATTTTTAACATTAACTGTGTTGCGTATATTTAAGATACTTATATGCAAGTACACAAATGTCATTGAAGAACATTTCGTGCCTATTTATGACCTTTTTGTTAAAAATCTTCAATTTCAAGTAATTGTAAAAAAATAAGACCACAATAGTCATTTGAGGAATTTTTACATAAACATTGACATGAAATCAAGTGAATAAATTCTTAAACTTTATAAAGACATTATTCTGGTTTTATATGGATTTTCTGCCCGCCGATACCTGACATAGATTTTCGAACCGTTCCGTGATATGGGGTATTGTGAGGTCACCCGTATCACACCGTGCAGAATAGTTGTATTTACTACGAAACATATGATAATGAACATTATTTTGCCTGAAAATCGCATATTCTCTTTCATATCTAAATATTTACAACACTACTCTTAGCCCAAGTGGCGCTGCTAAGAGCGGCTGCTCTAGAGTTGCAGAGTAAAAAGCTGAACCTTACATCACGAATTCGAATCCCATTATGGGACGTGGAGACTGGTCTTTCGGTTGAGACCTTGTAACCAGGGTACTCTGGAAGATGAGGTACAGGCAAGAAAGGTTCCTCAATGCTCAATAGGCCTCAGCATAAAGTACAAAGAAACAAATTTCTTAATAACTGCCACGATTTCTTAAGGTAATTACATACGTAAATAATAAAAATTAAGATTTTTAATCTACCAGTTATAAATTTATGGCAGGAATGTCTAATTTAGTGTACCGTTGCTAGTAAGATGTACATTGACTTCAACTTTCCTTGTGATTTTAGTTATGCTATATGAGTACTTCTCAGGGGAATACTTCTAAAAAAAATCACCTTATTTCACGAGTGACATACTTCAGACAGCGTATAATAGAAACAATTGGACACATGTATTGAGTATTTCAAAATCCAAACTGTAATAGTAATTATTGTTTTTTTTTTCATTTATTTCAGCTTAAGGCAACACATAAAATTGGTAATTGATACTTCTTACCATAGGCATGGCAATAATACCTTCTGAGGATGTGGATTCTCGAATGGAAACAAGTGGCAGTGATGACTGTGAAGCACAACAATCGGCAAATGGAGTTCTTAAGAAAGCTCTTAATACAATACAAGTAAGCCACTTTAGTTCTCATACAAAAAAAAATAATTCATTCAGTCAATCATTTTTCCTCAGCTTTTACTCAATAGTTTACAGACTTTAGATCCTGTGCTTAGAGTCGATTTTAGTCTGGACCTTTATTTCTAAAATTATGCATCATGTTTTATGTTTTAATGACATACGCAAGGTACTTTACCTACTGATAATTTTTCAAGATATTTTATATTTAAACTAATAACACCATACATATTCTTAGAAAAAAAACTCAGCATACGTCACCAGGGGTTTTGAAAACATATCAAATTTTGAATTTTTTGCAGTATTCAAACAAAAAATATGCAAAAATTACAAAACATAAACTCCAGGTCTTTTTTCAACAAAATTTGTTTTAGAAGAGGTGTGCAAATCTATACAAAGACATTAAAAATATTGCACACAAACCCTTCATTTAGTCGAACTCTTCAACTCTATGGAAGAACTCAATAAAATTCAAACAACGTTGTGTATAACTCTGACATTAAATTTAACAATACCTATTGCAAAAGCTAAGAACCATATTTTTGTGGCGGAAGGTTTTTTAGATGGAAATTATCATTTTTTTCTCTTTTGAACTATAAACAGTTCTTTTAATTTCAGATTCCTGTTTTTTCATTGCACACAAGGCTGTTTTTGCAGTGAAATGTGTTATACTTGTTCTGAAATATATATTAAATCATGTCCTATTAATTCTGTCCATGAATTTTGACAAAAATAGTAAATATACTCTAAAAGTCAAGAAAATATCAAATTTTTTCATGAAATCGACACATTTTTTTTTTGTAATATCTAAAAAATTCCATTATATATCCCCACTTTTAATGTTCTTTTCTAAATATTTAAGATAACTAAAATTATACTTGACAAAAAAATTTAAATTTTTAAATATCAGGAGCCAATTTCGTTAATATTTTAAATAGGGAAGATGGCAATATGCAGGTGTATAATTATAGTAGATTTTTTGGAGCAAATATTAACCATCTTTGAAACATCATACGTAAGTTGCAATCTTAGGAAACAATACCTTTTCTTAAAATAACGTACAATCCGTTTAATTTACAACATACATAAACCCTTTCCTTAAAAGCGTTTTTTTTTTGTCCTTTCCTGTCTTCAGTGTTTTATTGGACTTTTGTTCTTTATTTAATTTAAAATACATTAATATTTCATAAATTAAAGGTGTCAAAGCCGGGTGTCCTTAGGATGGAAAAAGCATTAGAAAAAGAAATATTTGAAAAATGGCATGAAGCTTGCGAAGTTATGAAAACATCTTCCATACCACAAAGTAGTATTGAACCATTTCTCAGTCACCTTGAGAGGAGTTATGAAGGTAATTTAAGCTATTAAAGTAATGATGTCATAGGTTTTTGCAAAAACTCTAATTAGTTTAAATTCATACCTAATAGAACAATATCTCTTGGAAGAATGCTTTACAATAGGTGTAATGATAAATATTGTAAAGTTAAAGAATTTTAAAAAAGGCATTTTTTCTATATTAAATCAATTATTCAATCTTTAAAAAATTTTGACGAGAGTAATAACTCCTAAGGTCTCTTCATTCTGACATTTGCTTTATTGTAAAATAGTTTCCCTGATATTCACAATTCAAAAGTATCTTTTAAGTAGGAAGTACTTAGGAACACTCAGCATCAGAATTATGCATTTTAACAAGTTTTTACATATTTTTCATAAATCTGTTTATAAAAAATGTGTGGGTTTTTTTATGTTGACATACACTTCTGTTTATTTATGCTTCGCATCTTAAATAATATGGTGACCTATACATTTTTTGCAATAATTGGAAAGTTTAAAGTATATCTAATGAAAATAAATGCAGTGTTTGTACTTTGAACCTATAAAATTGTGAGGGTGGAATCACCTTAAACAGAAATTAATGAACATTCTTCCTTCTTATTTCATTTTGTGAAATAGTCCTGAAACAAAAAAATAGATAACTGTTAGCTCAAAAAATATCACAAAAGAATGGAGTCATCTATTTTAAAATATGTACTTTCTTGCAAAAAATTATAACTCTTTGAAAAAAAGGAAAATATTTTAATGAATATAATTACAAGAAGGTGAAAACTTTATGCTGCAAAATGGTTTTCTCATCATCGATGCTTTGTCTAGAAAGAAAGGATTTTATGTATATTTCTATATCTAGAATAATTTTGTTGAATCCATGTGCAATGTTAGTTCAAGGGTTTAACGACAATGATATGGATGCACAGTGTTCCCCAGAAACACTTTCGTCAATATTTATCAAGTAGTTTTTTTTTTTACTAAATTGATATAATTGATCCTGGTGTTTCAAAGATAAAGCAAACTTTTAAATGTGTAAAATATTTTAGGTATTACCCCAGATATCACACAAAAGCTGAAGGAAATTCTAATCTCTCAGGAATGGGAGTATCAGTTGATGGAGTGGAAATACAACCATGGTGATGATTCCTCGATGAGATATGGACTGCTTGCATTTGGAAGATCACCTGATAAAAAATTTATTGATTGCATACATGCTGTCTATAAAATCGATTTTAAAATAGCTTCAAAAGTAGATCTAACAAAAGAAGATCATACTACAACATTGGGATTGATAGAATTCACACCGCAAACTAAATTCATGGAATCAGCCTCGGAAAATTGTTTCAACAATTTTTTCAGATTGAAAGCGCTTGAAGGATTTTACAACGAGGGGTTAATAGAAAGTATCAACTATGCCCCCAACAACACAGATGTTGAATAAAGTCTTAAGTCATAACTAAAAAAAAGACATTGAAAATGTGTATCTACATTTTGATAACAACAACTAATGACCAAAAAAAATCCCATTTCCGTAATAATCGTTTGATGAATCAAGATACAGTATATGTTCACAGATTTGTTTGACTGTAAGACATTTTCTCTCTGTGAATCTCTTTTTCCAATAAACATTTTTCTTAATGCTTCTGCTGTAACTTGATTAAACTAACATACAAAATTTGTTCCAGATTTTCTAAAGAATAAATGCATTTTTATTATTGTATTTATTTTTAGAGGGAAATATGCGTATACGACGCATGTAACTATAATCAAATTTTTTTATGCATAATAAAAATTATAGAAATAAATTTGAAGTATCTTACTTACACTCCCTGAAACCTTCAAATTTCTTCCCTGAACGGTGAACGAACACTGAACGAACGATAAACGAACACAAAACGAACGGTGAGTGAACGATGTGCGAACGCCGAACGTAACTTGGTGAATGATGTGTGAACGGTGAACGGTGAGTAAACACAGAACGCAAACAGAGCGCGAACGCGAGCGCAAAGTGAACGGTGAACGCAAAATGAACGACTTATTCGGAATGCCTCCGATCTTTTCCTTGCATTAAAATTATTCTTTATTGTATAATTCTAATTACAGGTGCCAAAATATAGATAAACAATAGATAAATAAATTAATAATATAAACATTTGTTTTCTTGCACATATATATAAATTTAATCGATATTTTAATAACACGATTTAAATTGCCATGTATTTGTTACCAAAAGCGTGTAGTACACACACACACATACACACACACACACACACAGGGTGTGTGTGTGTGTGAGGGTGAGTTTGTTATTATTATTAGAATGCAAAGTATAATAATTTAAAACATGAAAACTTTAAAAAAATTATAAGTTTTGATTTACTAAAACCCTGGTCTCGGACATCCACCTTCATGTACGAGCCCTCTAAGGGACACTACCCCAAGGGGGACCGTTTGTTGTATTCACAGATGCATAACTAAATCTTTCAATGTTATTGAGATTTCAATATATAAAATCACCGCAAGATACCGCAAAACTCCTTCTTGTCGTAGACTGTACTATGACGTTATTATACAATACATTTCAATGAACATTTAAACGAGCAAAAGGGTCCCAAAGGGAAATGAAAAATGCCTTATGTTAATGCATGAAGTCAAATATTTTCTCTTACAAAAAGAGGTTGACAGGGGGAAAAAAACATAAAACAATTGCCTTTTTGTTCGTGTTACTGGCTTAATTCTGTACATTCATTTTTTTTTTAAATTTATAGCTGTTTTCTTTAATAGATTAAACTTTTCTAACTTCTAATATAGGAAAAAAAATGAGGTCACTTCAACCAACTTGGTAATTTCGATCGATTACAAGTTCCAGTCTGAGATAATGTTTTGTTTAATAATTTTTATTGTGCATGTAGAAGTAAGTACATCTCCTTTATGCAGAAAAAAATCAGTTTATGCTGAATTTTGTCTAATAATAATAATTGAGGTTCTATGAGTGTACTTTCCTCATTGACATATGAAGCAATCTAAGAAGCTAAAATGAACAGAAAAATTACGAACGGGCAACTAACCCCCCCCCTCCCTGTGCCATTCACCTTTGAAACTTACTGTAAAATTAGCTAGAGATGTAGGGCTAATTGCTATTTTAAGTTGTCCGCCCTGCCAAAATTGTAATAGCCCGAAAAATATATAATTGTCTTTGAAAAGTTCGATTAGCCTATAAGCTGCATAATGAATTTTAGTCGTTAAATTGCTAATTTTACACTTTGCAACCAGTAATAATTAGTTGTTTGAGAAATTTTATCAAATATCTGAATTTCAATTTAATATGGAAAATTTTTACAAGTCCAGTCCGGTGTCTAAACTAGCAAATCTATTCGAGCACCGTTATATCAATCACTGCCCCCTCCACCGGTAAATTCATTGATATAACTATAAGAAATGTATATAAAAACCAGTTTTTTTTTTTTTTTTTTTTTTTTTTTTTTAAATATAGTATTTCGAATTAGTATTTCTTTGCTATATCGAGGAATTATCACATTTGACAGTATAGAATGGAAAATTCATCAATAGCCAGTTTTGACTTACATGTATGCAAATGTTTTTGTCCCCCGCTTGAAAAGTGGGGGATATTAATTTGGGTTTGTCCGTCCGTCCGTCCGTCCGTCCAGCCGTCCGTCCGTCCGTCTTTCTGTCTGTCTGTAACGCTTTCGTTTCCACACGATATCTCGAGAACCCATTGAGCTTTTGCAATGAAATTTAGCATAGCAACTCCCTATGGACTAAAGAAGACCCCTATTGATTTTGAGGTCAAAAGGTCAAAGGTCAAGGTCAAAAATAAGCAAATTCTGTCTGTTATAACACTTTCGTTTCCACACGATATCTCTAGAACCATTTGAGCTATTGCAATGAAATTTTGCATAGCAACTCCCTGTGGCCTAGGGAAGACCACTATTGATTTTGAGGTCAAAAGGTCAAAGGTCAAGGTCGTAAATCTATACATTCTGTCTGTGTGTAACACTATCATTTCCGGGCGATATTTCAAGAAGATTTTGAGCTTATGCAATGTAATTTTATATCAAAACTCCCCAGGACCTCTCTCACCCCTCTCAAAGTGCCCCGCCCCGTTTGTTTTATTTAATGAATGAAGCTTATTTCAACTTATGTTATCCGATATAACATAACTTGGGGCAGTTTACACTTTATAAACCGCGAAGCGGTTTATAAAAAAGCGTAAACTGCCCCAAGTTTTGTTATATCGGATAACATAAGTTGAAATAAGCTTCATTCCTTATAATTTAATTCCAGTGTAGACAATGAGACAATATTTCCTCCGGAAAAAGACTTCAAATTGGGCATTATGTTAAAAGTAACGTCAAGCGGAGTAATACGTTTTTGACGTAACTCATTGTGACGTAGGGAAGTTATGTTATCCAAAATATTATATGTTCCTCTGAATGATTCAGCCAATGAAATTGCTTGATACAAGTGAAATTAAATTATAAGTATTTAAAGTATTACATGTCGCTATTTTTAGCACAGGGGCATGCGGAGAGTTATTGTGTATAAAACAGGTTCTCGGTGGACTTTATGTTCTTATTACATCTATTAGAACTGTTTAATAAAGGCTAAATAAATCAAACACCATGGATTGTGTAAAATTTTGACAATATCGAGCATGAATATATACATGTATGTGACTTCACTTCTGCATATACGCGACGACATTTAAAGCGCCTACGTGGTCTAGTGGTATGTCTCCCGCTTCATACGCGAGAGGACCCGGGATCGAGTCTCGGACGATCCTTTTTTTTTTTTTTTAATATTCTTTTTTTTTTAAATGATAGTATTCAGCATGTGAAAAGAAAAATTTATGAGGTTATAAAATCATTATAACAGTGTGATAAATATTCCATATAAAAAGAATCTTCTATACACATAATAAAGAATAAGCAATCAAATCTTTATACACATATTGACATACATGTATTTTATTTGCATCAGTATACATGTATACATTTAATAATTCTACAAATTCAGTCAGGGGGATCCGACTTTTTCCCTAAGCGGGGGACACGAATTCTCTGAATTAGCTTGTCTTGTTACAATTAAAACTCATGCACATTCAGTTCAATATAAAAAGATTTTACAAATTAAAACACAATATTAAGGAATTCGCTTAAATTTATCCTGGATGCATGAATGCAGCGTTGATGAATAAATTTAAGACACGTAGTATCAGGCGAAATAGGTAAAATTTAGTCTAATATTATATGATTGAATACAATTTTAATTCCGTTGTCATTGAATATTATTATATCCTTTGTTCACAGTCGTTTTCTCCGGATGTGTGCCATTAATTAAACACAATGTCAGATTAGCGATGAAGATTATTTTAAAAAGTATATGATTTCACGAAGAGTGGCCTCTTCAGTTTCACCCAAACCCTTTTGAATTATTAGTAACTAAATTATTGTAAAGATTGTGAATAACCAGGGAAAAAAAATCTATGAAGCTAATATATGTACAGAGTATTTCCATCTTCATCGATATTTTGTCAGAATTCTTGATTCATATTGCTGAGCATATTGTTCATTTTTCGGTATAAAGCCTTTGTTTCAATAAAGCCAGACAAATGCATATACGGGTATATTTGCCAAGATGAACACTATATAGGCTTTGAAAATTAGGACTTGTCCCCTCCCCCATCAACGTTGTTTTTCTGGTTTAACTCCCCCTCTCTTTTATCAAACTTTCAACTTGTTTCCGACGCTTTATTACTCTTTATCTACCTCTTACCATATATTAATAGAATATTTTTTAATTCGCACTTAGTATATATGCTGCTATTGGTGATGATGATGATATGATGATGATGATAGTGGTTTTATTATCTACAATTAATGACTCAGAAAATTAGAATAAGCATGACTTATCTTCACAAACAGTGTAACTTCTCACATTAAACTATTGAGCTACCAAGCCTCTTTCTTTCCTCCTTTCCAAACCATAAACAGTAGTGAAGGATAAACTTCAGAGAAGTATTGTAAATCAGATATGTTTGCTCCAAAAGGACTTTGGAAGATTTGATATCAAAGAATTTTACCAAAATTAACAATATCAAATCTTACAACTTTCAACTTTTTGTACAACCATTTCAAACGATAAATTAGAACCTAAGCCTTTTGATATATTGGACAGATGCTTTTTGAAAAAGTTTTCAAGCTATCGTTGCCTTCGTTGCAATTTCTAGTGTTTATATTGGTTTCTTTATAAGACATGGTAATTGTTGAGGGCAAGTATAGATTTCATAAAATTGCATAATATTTACATTTGCAAATAGTTTTTTTTCTGCATAACTCTATTATATGCAATGCATATCAATAATCGCGTTTAAATGCATGTTTCACTAAATCAATGCAACCATTTTGTTTTCACCACAATCGATAAAAATTGGAAAACATTATGGCGGCACTTGCTTGAGGATTTTATTTAATGTTTAAATTAAAGTTTGAATCTTTACTGGTCAGTATCTATTTCTGTAAATCAAAACAACTGCTTTTAAATTTGAGCTTTATTCATTATCAAAGTCAATTTTCTCATAAGTCATTTTTTGCTCTAATGCTGTTAAATTCTGTTCGGTCGTTGAGTGCATTGGTTGAGATTCCGGCGTCTCTATGTCCTCTGTAAATAGAATGAAAGTTACCAAAGTCTCAGGCACATTCTACCAAATTGGCTTACAGACATATAACATATGAAAAACATTGGCAGCATTGCGTTGATGAAAACACTCCCTCGACCTTTAAGAGGCTCTTCCGAACCTGACTTTAGAGCACGTGTATGAAAATAATCAAAACCAGAAGATAAATGCGTATACATTTACCGGTCAATTTAAGGACCGCTTCAGTACAAGGAATGAGAGTCGTGCAAAGAAATTTTGCAAAACTTTTGAAACTGTTAAGCATAGTTTTTAAACATAAAACATATAGTTGTGCTCTAATTAACCCGACTTTATTTTCTTCACTAAGAATTGTTGGGTTCATACCTCAAACGGAATGTTACACAATCAGAAAAGTTAAGTTCATAATAAGAAGCGCTTAAGTCCTCTTCAAAACGAGTATATTAATGTTACGAACTTAAAAATCACCGGGTGCATTTCAATCACACCCTTTTAATTAGTTTGGGTTGTACAAGTTTTGTACGCAAGGTGACTGCAAAAGCTTCTAAAGAAGATGAGGACGATTTGATCAAAATATGTATTTCAGTTCTCTCATCTTTTTAAAAATATTAATTTAAAGTCCGTTAGCACCTTCGGATAAGCTGTTACTGAATCTTTATCGTAGAATAAAATGATTTTTTCTGGACATATCTTGAAATTAACCGAACTAAGCGAATAAATAACGGACAATGGACTTAGTCTCGGTTGACGAGAGTGAGATCGTAATGTTTTTATTATGTTTTAATAGAAAACAATAAATCAGTTGCGAAAGTGATAAAATAAGCTTCTAATTACGATAAATTATATTTCTTTTATTAACCTGAAGGGGTAAAAACACTTAAACTTTAATCCTGAATCTTTGACAATTAATGATACCTGTATTGTTAGCGCTTCCGAATTTGCATTTCCTCATCATATAAACTCCGATGGCAAAGGCGATCAATATAAGTAGAAAAATTAATAGAGGTGCTGCTTTACCAAAAGTAGACCTAAACAAATAATGTTAAAATAAACAATAAAATCTACCTTATACGATTGATTTTACAGAGCACAGAAACGATCATGAAGGTTGAAATTAACATACATGACATCCTCCTCCGGTATACCTGGTGCGTTTGTTGTTTCATTAGATACCGGGGATATTTCAGCCCCTTCCAATTCTTCAGATAGGAGTTCATAACACTGTGGATCTGCAGTGCATTAGGAATACATGTTATATTTATAACAATACTTTCAAAATTATTAATTACAAAAAAGACTCCTGGGGAAAAAAGTAAGTATGAAAGTAATATTACAACCATATTAAGCTTACACCAATTAGCATTTGATGAAAGATAAATATCGTTTTCCTTGTTTTTAAAACTAAAAATCATATAAGGTAGCCGTGGCATTTCCAATGGAATAGTTTTAGTATACCTACATAAATATCCCTGTGATGAATTGTATTTAAAGGGACACGGTTCGAGGAAGTTTTTGCACTTATTCTCAAAATTTGGCTGGATTAGTGTCCCTCCTTCGTTGTACTCTGCACACGAAAATCCTTCAAAAATATACAGTAAATCTTATAAGATAACAAAATAGAAAAAATAGACTGAGAAACATATATACCACCATTCATACTAAAAGTTATTTAAACAAATCAATACAGATTTTGAAAGTAAGGAGCTCTTGAAGGCATTTTTCATTATTTGAATGCTTTCCATAATTTTTGTTCATACCTATAATTTCAGTATCATGACTGCATAACTCAAATGTTGAATTTCGCCAAGCATTGATGAGACAATGATATTTCATAGGAACTAACGGATTACAGTTTGGGGGTGTTTTAGAACAATTTTTCCTTATCGCAGATGCAGTCCATAAATTTTTCGTCGCTGGGCAAGAGGTTGTTCTCTCAACATCACTCAAACATGAAGAAGTCACATGCACATTGACCTTAAGTTAAATAAAATTAAAAATAAGGTGAGATATCCTAAATTAAAAGATTTAAATTTTTCTCGGACACATCAGATATAAAGCATGTAGAATTGTTTTAAAATTTCGATGGGAGATAACATGGAATGAACAGGTGTTGTGCAGAAATAATCAATAATACTAAAACTTTTTTGTTTTGTTTCTTTGTATTTTGTTTGTTTTCTTTTGGGGGGTGTTTGTTTAGGTTATGTTTTTTATTTATTTATTTTTTTTATTTTTTTGAGACTCATGTACTTACTTATTCGCATTATTTCACTTAAACATTATTATGATGTTTTCTGGTCATTTCAACCAAATAAAATGTATGATTTAAGTCCTAGTTTAAAATACATGAGTAAAGTATATAAATACAAGCAATGCAAAATATGCTCATAGAATCAACAAGTAAAAATACAGTACCTTTTTAATGATCAGCAGAAATAAAAAGACATGTATACTTCCAATTACAACAGCTGCAACAATAAAAATTAATGATATTTATAACAAAAAAAAAAACCGTGAACTTTGGTATTAAAACCAACTCGGAGGAAAGAATATTAATAACACATCGCGTAGTTACACGTACCTTTCAGGAAACTTTCAATAAGTGTGGTTTGTACAAGGATGCGTAGCCTCATTGCAGTATATACTCATTAACTTTATTTTTGAAAAGGAAGAATCCCCTCATGCACACAACAGCATATACACACGCTCATCATGTAGAATTATTTTATTATTTCGAACTTCTACATGTATGGTTTGTTTATAATAAAATGTGTCATTTAATCCTGTTAAATGAAAGAAAAGAAAATTTCATCTTTTTTGTTTCATTGAATTCATATAAATAATAAAAATAATAAAGAACAGTCAATATAGCATTTTGGGTTTTTACGAAATACCCCCCCCCCCCCCCCCGCTTCTCTTTCTTAGTTTGCATTAATAAATAACGTCAATTTTTTTAAACACTAAACTTCAAATCCTCAAAATACAAAATATTACACTGAATGCAATTTACACTCTAGATTAACAATGGAAATGTGCAATCAAATGCAATTTTAAAGAAAACTCAGACTGAAGACAGACAAAGATCTTTAACTCAATAATACCTAGCATCAAAGTCGGGGATTCAGGGTCATCGCAATTTATAATAGATTTATTATAATGCAATCGATTGAGTTGTCGTATAAACATTATGAAACAACCTACATATAACCCACAGTGCATTTAAAATTGAAAGTACACACACAGAAGATTTAATATACAGAATGTACATTTGGTCAACAAAGGTGTCAGTTAACCGAATTAAGGCTTTAGAAATGAACGAACAGTTAATCATCCGGAAAAAATATACTATTTTTAGAAATGGGGATGTCCGCTCTTTTATTTACAAACACGTCATTGAATTTTAGTCAATTCTAAAAATAATCGTTTGAAAGTAGTAACTCATGTGTCATACGTTACTCCATTGACTATCGTGGTTTATCAATAAGATAAAGGGCCTCGGAATTTCTAGTTCAAGATCAATAAGGAAATATTTTAAAATCACGACATTCCTTCTTAATAAATATTTTACCAGGGATCTGTTAAATGTACGTGATACTGAAACAAGCACAGCATTGCTTCTTTATTAATGTTTTAAAAAGGTTATTTTTCTCTCTTTAGGAAGTTATAGAATATGTAATATTTCACTTTTAAATGTTAAAAAATGAAAAGAATACTTCGTTGCATATATCCATCGATTTATACATTTAAAAAACTATAACTAGTATGAACTTCTTCTATAATCTACTCCCGATATATATTCTTGTATTTAGAAATTATGAAATTTCAATGAATTTTTAAAAGCCTTATACAGAAAACATCGGCAATATAATGAAGGAAAAATATTTCCATGAATATTTTTTTGATTATGCTCTGTTTTAGTTATATATAATAGAAATAAAAAATACATTTACCTCCTTAGATAGATTCCGAATTCTAATAACATGTAAGCTGCGTTTGTCAAATCATAAAGGACAAAACTTTACCTGATCAGTCCGGTTTTCTCCGTAACAATGCAAAATATAAATATCACAAATTTTGCAAGCGCAAACCCTTCTCTTCTCTTAATTTTAAGATATATTCATACTTACTTTCTTTAAATGAATAGATGATTTATGTGTACTGTAGATCATTTAATTTCGCGACACCTTATTTTTGCTAGATCATAGCTGACTCTAAATAAGCGAGACATGATTTTAACGTATTGTTTTTACATTGTTTTCCTCTATTTCATAGCAAGGAATACTTTCATACACAAGAAATAATTATTTCGCGGGCTCATTGTCTCTCGTACATACGCGAAAATTGTCCTAGCAAAATAAAAGTGAGTAACAATAAAATAAAAGATACAAGAAAATAATATTAATACCTTAAAATTTACACTGATTTGATCTTATTTAACTAAAACATCTACATGCTTTCTTTTTTCCATGGCACGTGCAACTATTTTTTCAAACAATCTTTTTTAAACAGAACAAAAGAAATTAGGGGAAAAAAATGAAACAACCTCGACTTGGTCGTTTCTGCATTAGTGATTTTTAATGTAACTTATACTAGTTAGGAGAAAAATGAAGCTGTATGGTATGGTGGCATATTTATGTTATCCACCTATTTTTTTTGTCAACATAGCATTTTATGTCAAATCAACATAACTTTTTCAAATCAATAAGAACTTTCAGGTTTTTCGTCAAACACCGACTTTTATCTTGCACAATCAATACAAACTATCGTATTTTTGCGATATCTATCTCCACGTAAAAGAGAAAATTTATCTTGTATCGATCGCGACCAGAAGTTATCTTCTCATCTCAAGATAGCCCTAATTACAACAGAATGTGATAGCGTATCTTGACTGGAAAAGATAAAGCTGTTACTTAAAATAGATACGATTATATCCATTATACCTTTTTAATGCAGTTTCAACAACGTTTGTCTCATTGCAATGCATGTAATAAGTCTTTATATCAATGATTGTGTAATAAATTTCAATGCAGTTTATAATTCGTTTACGGTGTCCTGTTGCTTATAGTTGTATCTAGTTGATCTTGGAAAATGAGATGCAATCTTAGGTACTGTCTCAGGAGTAGATTTCTAGGCAGTCTTAAATGTATTCATCTTAGTCATCATAGTACTCTCTACAGCAGCTTGACTTAACTAACTAACCACATGTTTTGTCCTTTGAAAATGTGATTTTATATGTAAACGTAAACTGTTGCAAATAAAGTATTTATGCAGTTTATGAAAACATGATCTAACATCAAGTATCAAACCTTGACCCCCCCTTCTCTCTCTCTCTCTCTCTCTCTCTCTCTCTCTCTCTCTCTCTCTCTCTTTATATATATTCCAAATAAAAATGAAGAACGGTAGACTCAAAATTTCAACTTTCTTTTTTTTAAAATAACTTATATGTTTTCAGTTTATTGGAATAGTAATAATTACATGTAGGACATTCTGAACAAGTAACTCTATAATACTGTACAATACGGCCTAATCCTTCGTTGTACTGTACGCAGTAGTTTCCTATAAGATTAATGATTCAATCAAACTTCGAATTTCCTTGCAAAGATAATTCTAATTTAATAATTTTTGATATAGCTATAACATTTGAACGGTTAAGGCTAGAGCTTTTATTCCACACAATTGTAATTCTTGTGGGGAGAAAAACCTTTTTTCATTTAGTAAGAAATTTTACCCTTTGACATTGACCCTGGAATTTTACATAAGTTTAAGAAAACTTCATTTTGAATAATAAATTTCGAGCGGCAAGAGCTAAGGCATCCGAACTTCACCAATGTAAACCTTTTTACAAGGCCCTCCTTTAAATACAAACAATTTTGACCATATAACTTTGACCTTGAAGATTGAACAATTAAAAAAAAATACCTTGGCCATACACTTAACAACAGGTTAATATTTTTTATGAAATACCAAGTCAGAATGGTATAATTTTTTATTTAGGAAACTTCATATCTCTGTAAAAATTGGGGTCTTTAAAGATCGCAGATTGTGGCACGGAATCTGTCTGACGTTAAGCTAATTTCATTATAACGTCAAACTTTTGGATTTTGACTTAACACATGTTCATAGACGCATACTTCATTTCTTCTTTTAGGCGCAACGCACTTCAAGGTGGTAATATCTTTTTATGCAAAAAGAAAAAAAATAATTTTCTGAAATAGAAGACCCCCATCTTTGAGTTTACCTAAACAGCATGTGATTTATTTTTTAATGAATCGAAAAATTAATTTTTTAGGAAGCAATAATATGTCAAGATGGCAACCTCGAATATGACTGACTTTTTAACTGAGAAATCTTGTTTGGGGTAGCTAACCCTTATCAAAAACTCGTCTGATACCACTGAAGGAAATGTTAAAAGGCTGTCACAAATTTTTGTTAGATTTTGGAATTGCGACCTCTTATTTCACTTTTTGATCTGGCACTTATTTCGGGTTTTTTAGAGCAAAACATGGACTTTGCACTTATAATCATATGGGAGGCAGGGAGGCGGGTATCATTTAGTGAGCTCAGTGCTCAATGTACCTTTATTTATTTTTTTATTTTTTAAGATTCGTTGGCTTTCTATAGAATGCCTCTGGTTGTAGGGAAAAACCGAAATTAAAAATAAAAAGACAAAACCTTTTCTTTTTTAAAACAAAATCCATATATATATATAATGCACTTTTCTTGGTAAAGCGATATTTAAACCATTCAAACTAGATGTTCTGTGATGTTCATATTCCATATGAATATGCTGGCAGCGTCTTTGTTTTGCTGATAGAAACCCAAAAAAAATGTATAGGAACAAATAATAAAATAGGAGGTGCACAATGGTAATATGTAATAAAAACTGTGAAAGTTTCATCAATTCCATTCAGTGCTATGAGAAGAGTTGCAGATAAGAGTTGGGTACCCTAAAGCGTAAAGATAGGCGGACAGATGGACAGATAGAAGAACAGATAGGCGTACAGACAGACCGGAGGACATACTGATTACTATATACCCTCCAGCTTTCCAAGCTGTCATTCTAAATGATTCACAAAATAATGCAAAATAGATTGATAATTGGCATATCATCATCATCACAACTGTAAATTAAGTTTCCATTTTCCAGAAATGAAATATTTTTTTTTGTTCTTTATTATTAGATGCAATGTTCTCTGAAATTAGAATGAAACTAAGAACCGTCTATTTGAATTTGCCAAACGCTAAAGAGGAATTGATGCAAATATCTTTTTTTTTTGGAAAAATGTTATTCTTATTATTCGTATAGACAAGCATTTTTACTAGTATCCTATTTATACTAACTTGATGTGGAAAGTATATCCGAAAAATTGAATGGCAATGTATGAGAATTTAGAGAAATCATACCTTAATCAATTCTAGATTTGTTTTTAATCATCAATTTCTTCATTTCTTTGTAATTAGAAGTTTTTGACATCACAATTAGACACTTGTAAAGTAGTATTAATGCAGCATACATTGACAGTAAAGTAGAGATTGTAGGGGGAAAACATTAATGTTGATAAATATTTGTAGATATACATAATTTAAAATGTATACAACTGTATCTACGTAAATACGTTATTTATTTAAATTTCTCTATATAGGATCCATCTTGTTACGCATGGGATATAATGAATGCAGTATCAGCCATTTTTCAGGTATTATATTGAAAACTTTGAACACTGTCAAAATTTGAAATTTAACGATGCATGAGTAATAATTAAACAGTTTTTTGCAATTTACAATTTATGCCAACTTTGATACGTGTGTTTGGAATTTTACTTTTCATGAAGACTTTAAACACAATTAAATGAGACCTTGAAAACTGTCTTTGCATTTTATATTTTATAACTTTATGAACATCTAGCAAATTTTTGAAATTGTTTATAAAACAATTTCTTAAACTAACAACTGTATGAAATTTGCAAAATTACTGTTTTAGTTTTGCAATTTATGGATGTGTATACACATCGTTTATTTTCAACTCCTTTATCAAGTCCGAAAAAAAATGTTTGATTACATTTATTTTAACAGTACGAGGAACAATTTTTCCCGGGTCAAACTAATAATAAATAAAGTTTATTTAATAACTTTCAATCATGCTTCCGCCTGTCAGTACTTTCAGTTTCATTAATTGATCATGGCTATTCTTGTCTCTTTTATGATATCGTGTTTTGTGAACACTGTCCTATTATTCGGTACAGCGCTCTGCACAACGGAAACATACCACGCTTTAATGTGGATCGAAAGTAAAATAAATAGAACCAGCTATTCAAACAAGTTACATGTATATACGATACAAGGAAAATATCGACTTTACTAAACAATATGAAATACAAATCAGTCATGTTTAAAACAACAGAACAAAATAAAATTGAGTTTGCCGTCTTTTAAAATTTGAATTACCGTACACTATAGTGGCACATATTACGTATCTCTTTTTCTTCTCCGAAACTATTTTGATCGATAAGTAAAATAGAAAAAAAGTAAAACGTTCGTAAAATCAATACAAAAATAATTCCCATTGTTTAAACCTCAATTTTACTCAACAAAGTTTTCCTTTTAATCCAGAACCGAACTGTTCTCTACATAGGACTTTGAACTTGACCCACTGGTGCATTCTAAAAAAAATTGCCTAATGCATATACCAAATGCTGACGCTCCGGCATAACTTTTAATTGTGGATCCGTCCCTGAGACACAGCATGTTCTTATTTCAAATTAATTCAAAAAATATTTACTATTATGTTTTTTATGTGTTCGTTGCACACACTTTATCTGTTGTCAAACAATTTCTGAGTTTTCAAAGGATTTTGAAGCTTTCCTTATTCTTATGACAAAAAAGGATACGCGTGTGCATTCCAAATTACGTGTACTTTTAACTGAATGTTTATTAAAATAGTCTATGTGTGTGTATATGCATGTGTGTATTACATATTTAGTACATGTGTAATAAAGAAAGGTAGACAAAAGATATATCAGCTTTCAGAGCTGACTGATATCTATGCAACAGGGATGATACGGATCCTGTGGGGCTGTTACGGATCTGCAGGTCTGATACACAGAGAATAATACATTCCCATTTCCATTTCACATCCTGTATCAGCCCGAAACACCAATATCAGACAGAGGATCGAAGGCTGATACAGGATATGTGATGTAGAAAAAGGATTGATTGATTGTATATTGTTTAACTTCCCTCTTGAGAATTTTTCACTCATATGGAGACGTTGTAGAAAAAAGAATGTAATATAATGTTTATTAAATACTTTTTAATAAAATACAGAACACTTTAATTTGAGAAGAACATTTGCAAATAATCATAATAAACTTTATTGCATGTTTACTGGAATATTGGTCAAAATGAATCATTGACCATGGCTGATACTAAAAATACAAACAACCAATCCAAAAATAAACAACATATTTCTGACTCTAAATTGGTGTCCTTTAAGTTAATAATAAAAATCAGTTTGTTCTTGAGAATGCCTATCGGAACTTATTTCTATATCTCTGTCTGGTTTTCTCCTAGTCAAGCTACATTACCCCTGCGTGCATGAAAACTGCGATGGTGAGTAAATTTAAGACAAGAAGTATGAGGCAAAATAGGTTCCATTTAATGTGATAATAAATGAAAAAAATATTGTTCTGAAAAAAATGTCCAAACAGGGGGAGTGAATTTTTGATCTCCCCCACCAATTTTCTACATTAACAAGTAGGAAAGTATCTGTTTCTGATGCTAATAATGAAAAAAGGTGCAATAAACAACCCCAATTTAAACTCCGTTGTCATCGTATATAATTGTTTCCTATGTTCACGGTTGTTTTCTCCGGGTGCGTGCTACTAAAAAAACACAATGTCAGATAAGCGACAAAGATTAAAGATTATAAAAAAAGAATCTGTTTCGCCAAGAGTAGCATCTTAATTTCACCAAATACATTTTTAATTATTAGTAACAAAATTATTGTCAAGATTGTTAATAACATAATAATAATTGTGGCATATATATGTACAGTATAGTGTATTTCTATCTACGTCGATTCTTGTCAGCATTCATGTTTCATATTATTGAGCAGATTGTTAATTTTCGGGAATATTAAAGCCTTTGTTTCAATAAAGCTAGACAAATGCATATACGGGTGTACTGCCAAGATATAGGCATTGAAATTTGGGACTTGTCCCCTCCCCAAAACGTTGTTTTCTAGATTAATTCCCTTCTCTTTTATCAAACTTTCAACTTGTTTCCGATGCCTGAGACATGACACTGGCACCATTTTAAAAAGCTCCTAAAAACCCAAGGTGAACTGTTAAAAAAGGATTAACTAGTTTAACTTCACAATTCTTCGTGTGGATATAGCGTAAAGTTAGATATATCTTATGTACCTTATTATTTTTTTATTGACTGGGAATTTTTGTGGAAGAGGAAGAATATTTTTTTCAGAAACAGATAACACGGAAACAGACGCTGGTTATTAATCAAATAATATCAGTATAACATGTAACTTTGCGCTACAAAACTAGAATTTGTTTTTGTAAAATTGAACAAGTCCTCCTAGAGGATAAGTCTATAAGATGACCTTTTTAAATCTTGGATTTTTATTATTTTATGCATATTCAGAGTTGTCTGCAGAAGGACCATGTATTGGGTAAGTCGTTCTTACGGAAAACATTTAGGTGTGTATTGAACAAGTCACGCGTTCTTTATTATATCCCCGCTTGAAAAGCGAGAGGGTATATAGTTATCATTAATTCCGTCTGTCTGTATACGTCCGTCCGTCTGCTTTGGGGTACCCATCTATTATCCACAACTTCTCTTAAACCACTGAATGAAATTTGATGAAACTTTCCCAGAGTCTTTATTACATATTTCCATTGTGCACCTCCTATTTTACTTTTTTATCCGACACATATTTTGGGTTCCCCATAGCAAAACATTTACACTGCCATTTATACACATATGGGAGGCGGGGGTATCATTTAGTGAGCCCATTGCTCACAGTACCTCTAGTTTTTAATACTTTTAGTATACTTAACATGTATTGCAGCAAGGAGTTCTTTAAAGGATGTTGTCCTCATACATTTTGGAACAACGAGACCAAAGATTGTGAGAGTAAGTAAAATATTCTAATCCTCAAACGAAATATTATATATCATTTTGCAGACTTTTGTAACTTAGGCTATTTTCTCTTCCAGAGTGTCCGTCTGGGTTTTATGGATTAAACTGTAGTTTTTCCTGTCAATATCCTTTCTTTGGAGATCGATGTCTCAGCAAATGTTCCTGCAATAGCAGCTTGTGTGATTTAACTAAAGGGTGCATTTCGACAAACGGTGAGAATATGGGATGTTTGCATTTTTTCCCAAAATGATGTACTTTACATTTTACTCAGAAGAAAAAAAACATGTACAAAAAGAAAAAAAACAGAAAAAAAAACTATCAAATCCGTTATTTGTTACTCACTGTTCTGATTATATTGTGGTTTAGATGTATTAGGGTAATTTAAACTGTTCACAAAACCATGGACAAAAATAAGATTACATCGAAATTTATCGCTTTAATACCAAGGAACAGAGGAAAAGACGTTTTGATGGGGAATCCTGCATCTTATCATGTTTGCATTTAAATGACCTTCGGTCAAAGGGTAGTGGTGATAAAGCAGTAATTCGTATTAAGTGAAAATACATTAATTCTTGAAAAATATACAATGTATATTGTCTTCTACTCATGGGTATTTAACCAAAGAACTATGTACATGGTTACATGTATGAGGAGGAAGTGTATCTCTTCAAAAGTTTGAATTCCACGGCGCATTTATCGGTAGTATATGAGGCAAACTGTATTTTTCTTTGAAAATCTTCTCCTCTGCCCCTGTGCATGAAGCTGATAAAATAAAATAAAATGTGCCTTTTCGAAAATTGTGAAATATGTGGCCCAAGGGTCGATGGTTCCTGTAGCGTTTGGTACTACTGATATCATAGTATATTGTAGAAATGCATATTTTGATCCTGTAATCTACCTCTTGGTATTAAATAACTATATAGAGCCTATATCTTTATTTTTTACACGATACATGTACATGTACATGAACAAGATACGATAACATGTACACTCGACACGATATATTACACACACGATAGGATACACCCCCCCCCCCAAAAAAAAAAAAAAATCACAAAACAGCACTGTTTCAAAATGCGTAACAAAAGACAGAAAAGATTCTTTTGTTTGATTACTGCAATAGGATAAATTAATTACTTGCAAAGCTTCAAATCAAAATTAAAAAGTACATTTTAAGTATTCGGAAAAAAAATCAACTTGAAATCACCATGTTAATTTGACAAAAGTTATTCATTTATTCTATTTAAGTTGAATTATGAATAGTTTAATTAGGGATATTTAACATACATGTAATGGTTGCACAAAAATTTCAACGATAAATGCTGTTTCTCAAAGGTACTATTTTAATTTTATGTGACTTTATTTATAGATTTATAAATCTATTTATGAAAAAAAAAATATTTACATGTATTTGTACCTAATAAATTTATCTACAATAAGTTATTTCATAGAAGAAATTTAGGCAAAAAATTAAATACCGGGGTAATTATATTCAATGTCTAATGCTAACAATCTGTCTGCGGTATATATAAAAATCGCAATTAAAATTATAAAATCGTGTAAAATGAATACATCTTATAGACCGGAAGAAAGAAAGAGTCAAATAAATCGGCTACAAGAAAATAAATAAAATCATGATGGTAGATCTGTCATGAACTTCGAGAAAACTAATTTCTCAAGTAGAAATCAAAATAAATGCTTATACAGGTGTCTCTCGATGGCTCGAACTCCGATCTCTCGAAGTTCTATATCTCTCGAAGTGAACCTCCGGTCCCGTTTTTTCCTCTATATAACTAAGCAAATTTACTCCTGATCTCTCGAACTTCTATCTCTCGAAGTTCACTATCTCTCGAACCACAATCTGGGTCCCATTACACATATTTCATTGAATTTTACTCTCTATCTCTCGAAGTGTTGATTGCGCGTGTATACATTGTTCCCAAGAGTTAATTCAGTCTGCATTACACAGTAAACCCGATGATCTACCATAAGTGCAGTATATTTTTTTAAAAAGTTTTTTCTTTGAATTCTGTTTCATAATCACCATGAAAAACATTGTACAAATGAAATTTAAATCGATTCAATCAGGAATAATTGACTGAATATTGTTTCTCGAGAATTTTCCACTCCAATGGAGACACCACCACTTGGGAGACACCGCCACTTGCCGTTGGAGAGCTGCAAATTTTGTCCTATACTCGGCACTTAGGGCCATTGAGCAGGAAAGGATCTTTTTCGTGCCAGCACCTACTGCGACTCTGCACCACCTGCGGGACCTCGGTTTATACGGTCTCGTCCGAACGACCGGTCTCCACGTCCCACATTTGGATTCGAACCCGCGACGTAAGGATTGACTCCTTACTTTGCGACTTAAGAGCAGATGCCCTGACCACTGCGCCACGCGAGGAACAATCTGGAATAAGGTTAGGGACTATATTTCATAACATTGATGTATATGAATCGTTATCTAAAATTCAAGAAAGGACATAATTCTTTAAAATCAATATATTGTACATTAATCTATTTTTTTTTAAAGAATGAAATCTTTAATCAATGTTGTTTATATACAGAATCCCGGAAAAAAAGTAAATGCATTTTACTAGAACCAGGTAGTATGCAAGGTTACTATTTGACGTTAGGTGAGAGAGTAGTATGTTGACGGTGAACACACTCAAGCCCAGGTGTCATTTAGTGGAGAAGAGGAGGTTGTTTTCCGAACAGGAACACTATGTACTGACTAGATAGGTAAATATACGTGCCTGTTTTCTGGTAAGAAAAGTTTTTCGATTTGACACTCAGATGCACTTACCGGTAGTCTATATTTTCATTTTATCTCCACACCGAATTGTATAAGCTGTTGAGAGTCATCATGTTTTTCCTGTATATATTATTTTTAGATTATCTATTGCCAGATAAAATTCATGATAAACATCTACTTCATAGTAAACTGCCATGGTATGATAAATTGGGTAGAGCATTTTCATGCATTATATTATATATATCTTTTAAGTTTTATTATTTATACAAACCAAGGAATTTAGCTAATTAAATAGGGATAAAAATACATTTAACCAGAAGTCTCTCTCGAGACTGTAGCTCTTCTGGTTTGTACTTATCATAAAGGAAGAAAAAAGTCGCGGTTTGGACATAAAACTCTACAAAAGCAATGAAAAGAAAAATGATCCTTGATCAATTCTCTTTTTGTGGCAAGATTGCTATAAAACTAAAACTGAAGGAGTAGCTTTCAATAAAATTTTACAGAATTTTCAATTTTAGTTACAATGGCAACATCGCTCATCAATATCAAGAACACATCTTACAGTGATAATTATGTATCTCAGTGTAGGCTACTTGCATGCCAAAGAATATTATAATCAGACTAAAACTGTAGGAGGAGTAGCATTTTTAAAGTATTTCACAGAAATTTCTATTTTTAGTAACCACTGCAACATCATTTATTAAAATCAAAAACCGGTAAAAAGATTTATGTATCTTAGTGTAGTCTACTTGTGTGCCATATATTGAAATCAGATTAAAACTGTATTTGAAGTAGCATTTTTAAAGTATTTAAAAGAAATTTCTATTTTTAGTAACCACGGCAGCACCGTTTGTCGAAATCAAAAAAAATTATACAAAGAATAATATATATATATATATATATATATATATATATATATATATATATATATATATATATATATATATATATATATATATATATATATATATATATATATATACGAAGGCTGCTCAATTAATAATGTCCTGAACTATACAACATACATTACAGATATCATATGACATTAAACTTGACATTCTCTCATTATTGAATCTTTCGTGAATTTATAACAGTTTATGTGACCACTTTTCATCACATACTTCCATCGTTAGAAGCTGGGAGACAAGGGCTTTTCGAGACACTGCATTATAAATGAATGGTAAAGAATCAGTAAACTAGAGTGAAATAAAAGCTTCATTATAGCTGCCGTAAAACTTGTTAAAAATCTCAGAGAAATAGTCACTGAAATATATGACATTTACAGCAACCAATGCCTGTTTTATAGACAAAAGAGCTGATGGATTTTCAATGATAAAAAAATTTATAATTGGCTTCAAAAATGTGTACCCTCCTTGCCAACAAGAATTATTACAACTTATGTATTGGTTGCCAAATTTCAACAAATAATATTTGATTATGTATGATTGACTTTAAGACACATAGAAAATTTTATGGACATCATATCGGGAGTAGTTTATACTGTTTTTAAGAAACGTTTGACAGTAAAAAAAGCTTGGTACTCAAAGGTCACCCTATATTTTGAAAAATGAGTGAAAACAAAATTCTTAACAATTATTTTAAAATATCAGTAATTTTAGTTTTCCACGTTTGTTTTATTTTGAAACAGATATTGGAACATGAATCTATTGATTAAATCCCTCAAAACAAAATTTACCATATGATGTACTTGATAAAAACGGCAAATGGCTGACAAGAGCACAGGTATTCAAGAGCACAAAGACAGATTTATATGTAATTTTCTTAAAAATTAGTGGTATTGTTGTTCAAATTCGTATTCGGAGAGACAGTTTAATATCTGGAGGAGTCTAGAAAGCAATTTTTTTGCAAAAAAAATCAAAAGGTTTATTAGAGGAAGGACCCAGAATCTGGAATCCACTACATTGAATTTCTTCAATACAGCGTCCAAACCCGCATGCTCTGAAGAGTAAAGGGGTTTTCGGGATAAACAGAAAGTTAATGTTTTTTCACATTAACAATATTCGCCAGATATTTGACCCTTTGACTTGTTTCTATTTCCAAACTTGAAAAAAACACCTTTCAGAGGGAAAAAACAAGTCCGGGAAATCATTGGATCTGCCATTTTCAAGTATACTAAGGGTCATACCCAAAATGAGTTCTAAAAACAATCAGAAATTGTATGGAAGGGAATTACCGCCAAAAGTCTATGTATCTTGCTTTTATTCTTATTCTGCCTACTTCTTGATGCTTTGTTATTTTTATAATAATATGTCACTTTATTGTTTCCATATTCGTCTTTATTAAATTTCACTTTGACTTTTATCATTCTTCATTTTGTCTTTACTTCTATTTTGCTTTATTCTTGTAAATTCATTCTACTTTCTTTTAAACTTAAAACAGTTTCTTTAATAAATTATTAGCATTATCTCTACTACGAACGCTAACTCAATCACGCAAACAATGAAGAATATTCAATGAAGACGAATGGAAGT